GGAAGAATAGCACACCATGCCGCTAGGCATCTACTACTGCATAGACAAGCGACAGGTCGTCACTTTTAGAACTGCCTGTAAAAAAAAGATGCTAAGCATTATTTTGCCAAGGGTGTATTTTCTCCGCAACGAGATCTCATATATATCAACTGTTGTGATATTTTAACCTCAGCATGCAAAAAGAAATATATACACACATGTAGACATCTAGATATATATCTAGATAAATATCACAACAGTTGACTATGTACATATACTACACGGCATGATAAATTGTATGAACACATTTTGTTGGTGCTTTTGTAAACATAACAGGAGATCATCCTTTTCATTTACGTTTAAAATTTTTGCTTTTGCTCACACTTGGTAATTATAGAATATATCTCACGGAAGACCCGAATTAGTAAAAGATAAGATAGCGTATCTTGCAGCGAAGACAAAAAGGTAAGCTATGCAGTGTAGGCTTACTTCACACCAGAGAATGTTTTCGTATATGTAGATATACATACAAATACATCTGTATGGAATCACGAATTCAGTTTCATATAAGAATGTTGTTAACCCACGTCTATCCTCGCTTAACGAAAAATTCAAAGTAGACTTATATATGTTAACTTGTTAAGTTAAGCAAATCGTGTGAATGCTTTAAATAGCAAAGCGATATTCTGAATCTAAAAGGCGCCTAAGTCTAAATTCATGCAAACAAACAATTATTTTGCGTTATATTTTTCTTTGGCTTCCTTTACTTATATATTGACCTGATTCGAGAGAGAGAGTTCAATTCGAACTTAAAATCGAAAATCAATCTCGTAATAAATGTTCAATACATTGTTAAAATTCTTTAGTTAATAATCATTTCTCTAGCAGGAGACCAAACAATATGATTGAAAATAAATCCATAGCCTCTTACTTTTCAATTTAAAAGAGATATTGTTTTATTAAAATCAACATTGAAAAATTGCAATAAGTATCGAAAGCAGAGATGTGTCGTGTGCATGTAACCGGCTATTCTTCCAAACTTAAACGATAATAAAACAAACTCCTACTGACGTGATCAACCTGTTTGTGTGCCAATCTGTGTATGCTGTGATATTTCACCATGTGGTCGCTACATGGTTGATTAAATAAAGAAATAAACATCCCCCGTCAGTCGACGGATCTTTCGGATGATGAACGACACGGTTTTTGCCATTTTTTGTCATAGATATATCCATTTTAAGCGACTATTAAAAACAAACATTATTCAAATCAAAAATTTTTGGCAATTTTTAAAGGTACCTTAAAAGACAAACTAGTTTGAAGTACCACTCCCGTTGGACAAAGCATGTCAAATGTGAAATTGCAAAGCCATTATCAACATCGTCTCTTTGCCAGCCTATGAAAATAGATCAGTGCTGTTAGTTCTTCTCTCAGTTAAGAAACGAAGGGGAAACCAAGATATTGGTTAAATCATTCCTAGTTAAGTAAATACATGGCGTTATTGACCCGACAGTTTAATTAGGAAGGATAAACCTTAATGTTTCCCATCGTTCTTGAAGATATTTCATATTCATAAACTTTAACCAATGCAGCGCAGCCATGCTTATGAGCTTTTCAACCCGTTTAGGGTCCTTTGTAAAAATTTGAAAAGTGTCTACAATTTAATCTCTATATCGGATTCGTTAAAGAAACCTTAATATGCGCAATCTGGCATTGTCGCATTTGGATGAAAGTAATTAATAAATTTAGAGTATTTCTTGTCTCGCAAACGTGTTTATATAAGTTTATGTGTTTGTACACGTTTTGTTGTATCAGCTTTGTTTGTTACCTTAAATTAAATAATATTTTACTTAGCTCTTTATATACCACGAAGATATTGTAAGATATTGTATTGCTCTGAAAATTCTTCATATTCTTTATAGCAACCATTGGTTAAAGAGTTTGCAAGCAAGTTAAAATATTTGTATATAGATAAATAAAAAAGTTGAGTATATATAGTTGAATTGCGAGTATTACGATATTTAAATTTCTTTTGCGATCTGTTAAATAAACCTTAAAATTCACGGCCTTCTCTGTCTAGATAGGAGACGGGCTCGCCAGGCCGATGGATCCCCACACTCCTAATATATTAATCAATTGTCGTTCCAAAATCGAAAAATTGGCTACGGCGATAAGAATTACGGCAATTGTAACGATTTTGAAAACAGCAAAGACGTCTGTGCAGCTGAATTCATTCTACGTGGTGTATATGAACGTCATTATCCCTAATTCTGAAACCTGTTTACATAACGAACAATACCGCGACGTGCTTCTCAGTCTCTTATAAAAAGCATTTATTTATCCAAAAAAGCTATCTACAAATATATAGAAAAAGTAATAAAAAAACGTAAACTTTGGTTCAGTCCGTAAAGAAACTGTGTTACTGCCGTTTATCAACCCATCTCCCCCTCAAATTTTTCCTCGATTGCGTCCTGCCTGGCCAACGTTGCTTTTCCAAGGGTTACTTCCTACACTGCAAGGCTGCGAGGCACGTCATTGTATGATAATAATGCGCATTGTGAGGATAGGATTACTTTGGTATCATGATTGATTCCAAGTTCGCAAACATTGTTTTCAGTGTAAATAGTTAATTTAAAGCAAAGTGTAATATGATATAAGAAAAAATTTAAGTTCGAAATTCCAATGGGACTCGTAGGCCCCCATCCAGTACGGATTCGGATTAAATAAACTTCATATTTAAGCCAAAGTTAAAGAAAACACCCTTTAGCTGCCAGCAATTGTTTTCGAACTATAATTGAGAGGTATTTTCTTTTGCATTTTTATGTTTTGGGTCTTGCACGTATTCAAATGTGCTTAAAATCATAGAAATTAAATGCAATAATAATCCCGAATTAGTAACAAACTAAGACTCGCGTTAAGACTGATATAGCATTGTTTCTTGCTTTTCTATCATTAATTTTCTTTTTTTACTTTCGAAAATTTCCCAATATCATCTCTTCCAACTTTCACATCTATTTACTGTGTATCATATCGAGTGTATTGTTTTGTGGCAGCAAAGCGCGCATTAATAAATACCATAAATATTACATTATCGCACACAATGAGTATGAATCTTTCTCATCTCGTCAACGTTGCACATAAATTTTCCTGCCGGGTGGCGGATGGATGGATGCTGTTAAACACGTTTAATAATTTTGTTGTTATTTTAGCTAAACAAATATCCTTTCTCTCCTCAACACAAGTTCCTGCTATTATTCTTTTCTTTAAACGCCAGAGCTTAAGTAAATAGTATCCCCGTTAAAAGATGTGAAACAACCCCAAACAAAGAGAATTAAGCCAATCAAGCGTTCACAACATATACATTTATCGATAGATATAATCTTAGCTTACCATCGGTTTTTCTCCCCAATAGGAGAGAGTTTGTTAAGCTTAACGTTCCGCTTTCTGCACATAACAGCAAAAAACAAAATTTCCATCGATATATATGTTACTTGATAAAGTTAAGTCCTTTCGCTTAAAAGAATCATGAAAACAACATTTTTCGCTTTTAGACATCATTTATTTTAAGTAAAATCGCCTCACAGCTTCACAGTAGATTTTTTATGAAAAAATCAAGGAAAGAATTCCGCAGAATCTTTGCGTACCTACCCCGCTAGCTTCTTGTATACGGTATTTGACAGAGAGGAGGTTTCATTCACTCATCGCATTGACTACAAACCGTGTCGATTGTATAATAAATTTTGTGTATGTATGGTTAAAATCTGAGTTGTGTATGACGTGGTAGCATTTTGTAGACAATCGGTTGAAATAAAAATCGTATTTGTGTAGTCGTCGGCTTTATGAAAATTTGGTTTTCTTTTAATCGACTTTGAAGCAAAAATTTGAGACTCTATTTAAGGCGAATCGTATAGTCGGAGGTTAATCTCCGCCTGATTGCTGTCAACATTTATGGCCTGAACTTGGACTAATTTCCCGTTCGTTCTCACAGTGTCTTAGTGAAGGTAACGAAGATCTCCGCTATTTATGTGTTTGAAAACATATTATTTTTGAGATATTTGAGTTAATCAAGTCCTACAGAAAATATATTAACTCGCCATGTAGTTTTATATCGCTATACACGGAAATCGTGTTAAAAGACGGATTCACGAATTAATTGTTTATGAGCAATAACAGTTATTTTGCTTTTTAGAGATTAGACCTGGATGATGTAATGGGTAAACTTGGTTTAACCAGCTCTAAAATAAATTAACTTGAGTATAGCCGTAGATTATTAGTCAATCTCCGGTTATAGAAATCGTCATCAAAACTCTTAGTTAACTACAAAATTCTAAGAGAATAGTCTAGAAAAGTTCTCTGTTTTTTTTTTCCTATTAATTAGCTGATTTTATTGACTTTTGAGCCGATGAGGAAAATATTGAAGACCTATTTCTCTTGTGGAGACACATTTGAGATCGCAAAGTAGACATCCAAATGGAGAGGGACAATAGAAGATAGCTAGACATATATGTGCAAATCTTTTATTTTACTCAAGCCTATTAAAACTGGAAATACTTCAGATCACCTTTGATGCAAATTTCCACGGGTTACTAAATATTGGGCAAATTTAGTATAACTCTCTGTGGTACGTTTAACAAATAAAGGCACTATAAAGCTTGTGGGGAGTGAAAAATCCAGCATAAGTCGATCTTCACTATCATTCTTCTATACGGACGGTTAGTGACGATGTTTTGGGTACATGATGCACAATGGGAGGGTATAGTATATATTTGTTGTCGTGCATATGTCTGCATGTAAAATTATACAAAGTATCAACCACTTGCTCCAATAGCAACACAAACGTTTTGCAATATTTTGTATTATAAGGAAGATAATGCCATATTCAATATTTTTATGTTTTGCTATCGAGTTTTTACGGTTAAGTGGCGCCAAAAACATCCTTTCTCTAAACATTATTTGCTTGCCATCCTATACTCTGACGCAGTAACATTCATTCTTTCTCTCTCTGTGTTTCTCTTTTACAGATAACGAATTGTATTCTGGCACGGTGGCCGATTTTAGTGGCAGTGATCCGATTATCTATCGAGAGCCATTACAAACCGAACAATATGATAGCTTAAGTCTTAATGGTAAGTTGGCCCAAGTAACTGCTTATATTTATTCAAACATATTCATTCACACTTATTTAATCCCACGCAAACATATACAAGTGTAAGTCTAAGTGTTTGTTTGCGTTTATATTCAAGTTAATGTGTGTGCGTATATATGTATGTGTGATATGCTTCTTATGTTTTTTCATGAATTATTTAAATTAAAGTAGATTATATTTTCATTCATATTTAAAAAATAACAACAAACTTATCGTTTTACATTCAGTCAAAATAATCATTAATTCACGAGTAAGGCAAATGACAGATTATTATCGTGTTATTATATTACATAATTATACTTCATTGATTGGAAATTGCCTTAAGTGCGATACACTCCCTGTATAGAGTGACTTCCAAGTCCTACAACACTTAAGCTTTAGTAAAAGCCAAATTAAAACAGTGTAGTGAGCCACGGCTCGCCACTAAATACTCTACATCGCCCTATAGTTGTTCAGATAAATTTTGAAGATAAGGCATCATATGGGAAACGATCGATCCGAACTATTTTCAATAGCGTTCAAACAAATCATTATATCTAATTTCGTCAAAATTTCGACTTGTAAGTTGAACACAACAAAGAAGACGGACAGACACGTTTAGATCGATTCAGAAAGTGATCCTGAACCGATCGGCGTAATAAAAGGTGGGTCTATTTCAAGTTTTTCCGTGTGTTACAAACAACCGAACCTATTGCAGCCTTGTATCACAAATTGTGTAGGGTTGTTTATAGAAATTATTGTACCCACCACTGAAGGAGGTATGAGTATACCCCCGCATACTCATTTCGGTATAATGTTTGCAGAGCCTAAAAGGAAGCTTCAGCGTGAAATTCTGAATCCATTAAGCCATATCTGTGCGTCTATGTGGGGTGTACTGTTAACACTCTGGTTGTCGACGTTAAAAGGACTTGCCGAGTAGAAGGCGTAAGTGAGTTAATTCTAAATTAATTAAAGTGAAGGTCATGACGTGGGAGATTAACGTTTCTTGACAATATCTTCTTGTGAAGTAAAACGACTTTTTACTGAAAATAAATAAAAGGATGACGCGCCAAAGATTTTAATGGTGGAGGATATCCAAGATTCGGTGCCAGCCGAGTATAACTTTCTTACTTGTTTTTAACTGTTTTTTTTTCACATTTTACCATTATTCCTTCAAATGAAATTTTGCTCAATTCTAGTACCTAGGCTATGAACACAGAATCATTTTCGCAGTAATTTCTCGTATAACAATTTGCATTGGGAGGCATATCTCAACCATGGATCTCGTACGTATGTTTCGGCCATTGTGAAATTATTTTCTCACATTGGACAAAGTCTAGATCGCAATAGAGGTCACGTGGCATATACATAGACAAAGACAAAGTTCCCATAATGTATTTGGGTTTCCGAACGTCTCTCAGTTAGGAGAAGAGGCATAACCGAAAAGTGTCCACATCATTTTGCTGTTAAAGCTGGACTACGGTACAGAAGACGTATGGATGTTTTTTCCCGATTGGGAGGCTTCTACTGAGTTGTTGCCTTTTAGGCTTAGACTTAGTGCTCTGCTCTAATGTTATGGCTTCGTTTTCTAAGTATTGATTTTATTTTTCATAATTCTTTCCAAGTGTTTAGAAATGATCGAGTGAATCGCATTGGTGGTGGTGTATTAACTGTCATATCTGCGTCAGTCCCGTCCAATTTAGTTGAATTTGCCCCTTCTCCTGACGTTGAATTTATCGCTATTCGTGCGAATATGCCTGATAAACATCTATTTATAACCTGCTCCTATATTCCCCCAAATTCTGATATCTCCATTTACAGGAAATACGCTGCCCTCATTTGTGAAGTGGCCAAGCGGTCTAGACCCACTGATTTGGTCGTTGCATTGGGTGAATTCAATTTGCCTCAAGTCACTTGGTGTAGCACTGATAATTCTGGCTGTTTGGTTCCTACTTCAACGTCTGATAGGGCTGTTGTGTTCTTTAGTGAATTGTTTAATCATAATTTGGGTCAATATAATCGTACCCCTAATTGTAATGGTAGATTGCTTGATCTCTGCTTTGCCAATTTTCCCGAGATTTACGTAAATCGTTGTCCACCTTTTAGTTTACCTGAGGATCCTTATCATCCATCAATATGCATTTCCTTTCATCATATTAATGATGGTTTGTTGAAATGCCTTAATGTGCCAAATCAAACTTTTTTAAATAATTATTATGATCTTCATAAAATCAATATTGTATTACTAAAACATCGTCTTTCACATCTGACGCTTGATTTCTCAACCGGTAGTATTGAAAGTTTATTGTCATCGTTCTACAATACATTAAATCTAGCTATTGGCGCATCTGTTCCGATCAAGCATTGTCGACCTCGAAGCAGGTGTCCCCCGTGGTTTAAGAAAACAATTAAATATCACAAGAATAGAAAAAACTCGCTATTCAAAAAATATTCGAAAAGTGGCTCTGCGCTCGACTATGTCGCTTACTCGGTGGCGAGGCATAGATTTAACTCCCTCAACCATCATTATTACTGCAGATACCTTCAGTTCATTAAATCCTCTTTGTTTGCTAATCCTAAATTCTTCTTTAAATTTGTTAACTCTAAAAGAAAAATTTCCACATATCCCTCTCATGTTTCTTTTAATGGCTCTGATTCCTCGGATGATTGAAATCTCAAATCTATTTGCTGAGTATTTCCGACGAAACTTTTCGATTGCTAATTTCGATTTATCAGCAAACTAACCATATCCTATAACTAACTCGGTTTCAATAACTAACTTGGTTATTTCGTAAGATGATGTTTTTAAAGGATTGAGTTCTCTAAAATACAGTTGTTCGCCTGGACCTGATGGAATTCCATCATGTGTACTTAAATCTTGCGCTGTCGAGTTATGTGATGTGATCTCAAAGATTTTTAACATGTCCTTGTATTTAGGTGTTTTCCCTTCATGTTGGAAGAGTAGTTTCCTTATTCCTATCCACAAGAGTGGAAGTAGACAATTTGTTGAGAACTACAGAGGCATAGCCAAGTTGAGTGTCTTGCCCAAGTTGTTCGAGCGTATTGCGACTCAGCATTTGGCCTTTGCCATTAATTCGTATATTTCTCCGCACCAGCACGGCTTTCGGAAAGGGCGAGCTACAGTCACCAACTTGTTAGAGTTTACCTGTCATGTTTTCAAGGCTTTTTCTAGTGGCTATCGCACAGATGTTATTTACACTGATTTAAGCAAAGCATTTGATATGGTTAACCATAGACTACTTATCTTTAAACTCCAAGCCTCTGGTTTCCCACCCTCCTTAGAGAAATGGATAAGCTCTTATCTGCACAATAGATCCTTCAGGGTTTTGTTTAACTTCATCACCTCGGATGAATTCCCCGTTACGTCTGGCGTACCTTAAGGAAGTCACTTAGGTCCCATTTTATTTAGTTTATACATTAACGATCTCCCATCGGTGGTTAACTCCAGCCAGATCTTAATGTATGCTGATGATGTGAAACTGTTTTCTTCCTTCTTTGTTGAATCGCAATCACATCAGCTTCATGGTGATTTGGATAATTTTGTTGCATGGTGCTCTTTGAATCTGCTGAAACTAAATCTGAGTAAATGTAAGAAGCTTTCATTCTCAAGAAGAAAGTCATTTATTACTCAGTATTTCATAGATTGGCATAAGTTGGAGGACATCGATTCGATCACAGATTTAGGCGTTCTATTTGACCATAGGTTACGTTTTAACTTGCATATTGAGCTCTCGATTAGCAAAGCTATGTCCGCGCTTGGTTTTATAAAAAGGTGGTCCAAAGAGTTTGATGATCCCTACATTGCGAAAAGGCTGTACATGTGTTTGATTAGACCCATACTCGAGTATGCCTCAGTTGTGTGGTCTCCTTCATATAGGTGCTACGTAGATTCAATTGAATCTGTTCAAAAGTAATTCTTGCTGTTTTCCCTTAGATATTTGGTTTGCTTCTGCTGTCCCTACCGTCTCTTGAGAAACGTAGGTTTGTTCTTGGCGTTTCCTTTCTAATTAAAGTAATAAATGGTACCATTGACTCGCCTTCATTACTTGGTGAAATAAGCTTTAATGTCCCTAACCCCTTCTCTAGGCACTTTATCTTGGTTAAGCTTAGTCAGTTTAAGTTTAATTATGAGGTGTTCAATCCGCTCAGAGTCGTTTGCAAGAACCTAAATGACGTCTACCACTTATTCTCGTTATCGGACTCTTTAAAGTCCATTAAAGCAATATTGCTTAATACGCGCGATTTACCTATGTCGTATTTAAACTAGCTTTATCCTTAAAAAGTCGTTACGTTTCGAAAATGAATTATTGACAAATTATTATCGGTTGCCAGGCTTATGCATATTTGCGATGGTTTAGGGGTTCATTTGCAATTTGGTCCTGTACCAGTTGTAAGTGTGCCCCTATGCTGATAGTGTACATGCTTTTTTTTCTTTTTTATTTTTCTTTTTTTTTTTCTTCTTATTTGTTTTATTATACTTATACTAAATTTTATTATTAATTAATATAAGTTTTGCATTAAGAGCCAATTGAACTCGACTGTTATTTGTTTAGTTGAGTTTCTAGTATAAGTGGAATAAATAAATAAATAAATGACCTTGTGCTATAATTAGTGTTCCGGAATAAATAAAACTCTCCTGCAAGTGGTAAGTCATGAAAACTACAAACGAAAATCTATATATAAATATATTAGTTCAAAAATCAACTTTGGCTTCCTCTCAGTTCAGTTTGTTAGATAGCTTTTAATATTATTTGAAACCAAAAAGAAAAATATCTTGGCTGCTTACTTTGCGCCCTGAATGTTGTAAACTTCAGATTTGTCGTGAATGTTGTAAACTTCAGATTTGTACGATAAAATATTTTTACGAGAATCACATATTTGACAAAAATACGAAAATTCTCAAAAGGTTGGGCAATTAGAACAAAATGTTGTATTCGTTAGTCGTTTCAAATGTTTATAAGCAGAAGATTTGCTTGGGACGAGCGAGTTGCACCGGACTCTTCAAGCCAACCTATTTAATCTAGCGAAGGAAGAAAGGAGTGTTGGGAAGTGATACACCTATAATCATTATAATCTAATTTTGTAAATGTGTAGGTTGTTCATCTAATTACACCCTACCCTGTTCTTCACATCTCGCACGAAGAGATTGTAAAAAATAGCTTCCACAAAGCCTACACAAATCTTTTACATGTCGCAACAGTGTTCAAAATTAATTCCGGGATTACCAAGTTTTCTTGTGTTCTCGTCTGGGGTCAACTTGCACACCGACATGTTTTGCATATGCGTTAATAAAATAATGATTTACTTATATAAATAAGAAAGTAAAATAAATAAATATATGAAATTCTTCCCCATTCACAACGCGAACTTGATTTACGAGATATGAGGGATAACACGCAGAAGAAATTTTACGTAACAATTGTTACTATATATACTGCACACAAGATTCAGAAAAAATATAACTCAATTTGGTATTGGCAATGGTCTAAATCTGCCGAAGAATTCACCCATAGTACAGCGTGAAGCGAAAATAACTCAATAAGTCAAAAACGTGAATAACTTGAGCATTAGGCATAAAATCCCACCCACGATCCCATCATACGTAAACGCATATTCTATTTTAATACAAACGCGATGACTGGATAAAAGTTTCGATCACAGGCGAATATAATTTTCTTACTAAGAAAACGGTAGGAACGTATAGGGAGGATATACATTTTCTTTCGTGTGGTCGCGGGTGCAAATCTCAATGCGGTAAAGCGTACTTTGATCGCAGTCATAGTGAGTGTTCGGTCGATCAGTACCGATTGGGCACACACCCAGTAGGTGATGGCAGTTTTTGTATTTCTTTCTCCTTCATCACTTTTTCCGACCGTCGCTGTATGAGACAAAAAAAATGCTTTTGTGTACAAAGTATCCACTCCGGATTATGGATCGCCCCGTCTATTCGCTCAATTTACACTTACGCGTGACTCAAACCGTAAGTATGTGAAATATTCTTAAGACTGAGGAAACGTTCTTTCGGTACCATTACGCTTAAAGCTATTAAAGGTAAAGAAAATGGATTACAATCACTGCAACGACGTTTTGAAAATGAAAGAATTTACACTAAACCAAGATTCATTAATAGTTGCTTCATACTTCATCTTTCTTACAATTTGAATCATGTACGAATCTTGTGTTGATAAGATAATCTTTTGAATTTTCATTATCACTCTCTCTCTCTCTCTGCATCTTTCTACATGAAGTGCACAATTTATGTAAACAACGGACAATTACTGTGAACGTGTTTTTTTTACAGTCTTCATGCTGTCATTGGGGTGTACACAACCAACTTCAGCGTATTACTCAATTGAAATAAAGAAATAAAGAAAAGAGTCAAACATAACCT